GCGTACCGGTTCGTTCCTTTCTGAACAGCCTAGCGCTGATGTCCTGTGATGTCTTAGTCATGTGCAGATTGAAAGACGTGAAAATCTGTGACAGTGTCGATCTTATGCATAGCCACAATGAATCGGCCTTCTACCCACTATGCTTCTTCTGGTCGACCATCATTATGAACGCGATCTCCGCTGACGTGATCGTGTCGGCATACCCCACACATCTTCTCAGCCGTCGCGATATTTGCTCATACATCATCAGTGATTATCGGTAAGGCACTCACCGCAAGGAGAAAGTACGAAGACTGAGGTTTCTCGTTCGACGACATCCGCACCATGTCCTGCACTCGCTGGAGCTGCCCTCACCGGCGACAGTTCTTCTTAGATGATGGATGCCTCAACCTCGTTTTCGACAATGCACGCACCCACACAGTCAGCGATGTTTTCATCTCGTGGTGGATCAGAGACTTACCCTGTGGTAGGCCGTGGACGGCAACAGAATGAGGGCCCAACGTCTGGGCGGGGTCTCGAGATGACATGGAAGAAGTCTGGGACAGCTTCCCGTAGCTGCAACATGTATTCATCATTTTACGACAATGCTCGAAGTCGTTCGTTTCTTTAAGTGATTCATCCTATTTGGCTCTTGCCTGCGTTGTTGCTGTTCACTAACATGAGGCTGCAGAGATGTAATATAGAGCTACGTTCGCATAAGTGATACACACCGCATCTTCCGCTACTGTGATTGAGTCTTCATGTTATTTGGAACCGGCGCCCGGCGCCTCTTCAACCAAGTATTAGACTATGAGTCGCGCGTCTGTCGATCTGAGGCATCACATGATTTTAGCGTGATGAAGGGTGACAGAATGCCAGAAAGCTAATACACCTTGTACAACTCAAAATCAAACAGTAATAAACTCATTTATATAGTCACAGTTCAATTTTATTTGCGAATGGCATTGAGCAACTTTGGTATTAGTGTGTGATAGTAACAGATGTGCTGGCCACACTGTGAGTCACTGTCTGTCACAGGTCTGCCAGATTCACGTGATGCCGTGGGATATGGATGAGACCATCCGAAGGTTTGCAGCCATCAGATGCACCTTATATATTGGGACTCCGCCGAAAGATGCGTCAGCTAGACGCCGAGTCGAAAGCGATTGTTCAAAGCTCAGCGCGGCGCTTTCGGCAAATTCCGCAATAGCCTCGGGCATCGCGAAAGCCAGGACGATGAAAGCCATCTCGAAAGCCGCACGAAAGCCAACTGTGAAAACCCCTATTATTTCGCATATCGGAGTTGCTTTGCCGCTTCGCGAAGACTGACACATGCGAAATCATACATAAAGGCACTCGATGGTAGGTCGTTTGCACATTTTTCACAGCCGAACATCGACAACTCGTCGACATGTGGCCTATTATCTCGTATCCTGAGGTGTCAATAGACTCATTGAACGAAAAATACGACTACATCGTCGTGGGTGCGTGCAATCAATCTTCCGATCCAGCGACCTGTCCTTATATATGCGACCTAGGTGGTGGCACTGCAGGCTGTGTGCTCGCCAATCGCCTGAGTGCAGACCCATCCAAGACCGTACTGTTGTTGGAACGCGGTCCACGCGCAGATTCATGGGCTTCACGCGTCCCTCTCTTTTCCTCCGACGTCGCGTCGGACGGCTCGCCCACGCTCAAGCGCACCAGCGAGAAACAGGATGAGATTGGCCGGCCGCTTCTGCTGTTCTCGGGTGGGGCACTTGGAGGGACTAGCAGGGTTAATCAGGCGATCTATACGCGCGGGCTGCCTGCAGAGTACGATCGGTGGGCTGCAGCAGGAAGGAAAGGATTGAGTTGGGAGGAGTTAAGGCCGTACTTTCTCAAGTCGGAGTGTGCGTTGTCCGGGGCAGTGGAAGGCATCCACAGCACTGAAGGTGAGCGAGCCGCAATTTACATATCCACGTGACCAATTTTACCTTCAGGCGAATGGAAGAACAGAACGTTGGGCGGCTACCACTTTGACAGTTTCAGCGAGTAAGGGCAAAGTCTCAACAGTGAAACGAAGCTGGAGACTGATGTTCTCCTCGCAGAGCCGTTTCAGCCGCCGAGGTGCTTGGTCTGCCGCACATTGACGACATCAATTCTCCGATTCACCCGCCATTTGGCTGTGGACAACTGCATTTTACCATCGACGAGAAGGGACACCGAAACTCAGCATATGATGCATTTCTCCCGGATTCACTCGCAAACGCACGCAAGGCGAATCTACATATATGTACGAATGTGTTGGTAGAGAAGATTGACGTCCAGCGGCTGGAAAACGGCAGTTGTGCCGCGCGAGGGGTGACCTTGCTTGCAAACGCAGAGAAGAACATGGAGAGGAGAAAACACGTTGAGGCGCATCGAGAGATCGTATTGTCTGTGGGGCTGTTTGGTAGTCCGCAGATTCTCATGCTCAGGTGACAACACAATGGCTTCACTCAGATTGTACGGCGTGCTGAGAAACTGTAGTGGGATCGGACCGTCCGAGCATCTCAAGGAGCACGGCATACCTGTCGTGAAGGATCTCCACGCAGTGGGCTTGAATTTGGTGAATCTCTTCGTTCACAAGGTATCCAACTCCCGGCTGACTTTCGAGCAGCAAGACCATTTTGGTGTATCAGTCGGGTTCTTCGTCCCCATGCGAGACTCGCTGCTATCGCTGCAAACACAACCATGGCGATTCTTCATGGAGCTGCTCCGGTACCTGATCTGGGGGACAGGCCTTCTACTGGGTCCCGTGCTGCAACTTGCGATCTTCATGCACACGGGGCTTTTGGACAGCACGGGGCAGCCGACAAAGGCTGAGAAGGAGTTCAAAGAACAGGTGCCCGGCATTGAGATCATGCCTGTATGCGCGGCCTTCGTCTCTTCACTCGTCGCTGCTAACCCGAACCATAGCTGGCATACGGCAGTATTGACGTTGAGATGCCGCGTTCTCGCGGCCTGTTCAGCTTCCTCAATGTGCTGCTCCACCCCCGAAGCAAAGGCACTGTACGGCTGTCCTCGAGCGATCCACGCGAACCGCTCATCGTCGACCCGCAATTCCTTTCGAACCCTGCCGATATCGTGCCACTGCGCGCCTCGGTGAAGCTGTCGCTTCGTCTGTGCGACCAAATGCGCAAGCACGGGTACATGATGGACGACTGGCTCGTGCCCGAGAGCGAGAGTGACGAGGACCTGGACAGGTTCATCCGGACGCACAATCGCACGACGTACCACTATTCGTCGACGTGTCGGATGGCGCCGGAGGACGACGCCGAAGGTGGGGGTGTCGTGGATGATGAGCTGAGGGTGTATGGTGTGAGAGGCTTACGAGTGGCGGATACCTCGATTCTGCTATGGATTCTGGGAACACACTTGCAGGCTCCTGCGGTGATGATAGGAGAGAAATGCGCGGATATGATACTCAGACCATCATAGGCATCGTGCACGACCTCTCACAGTATATATTTCTGGATGACTGCATATATATGCAGTTAATCACCAACCGATGGCCAACGTGCAACGGGTGTGGCGTATGATTGGGCGCCTGTTAGCATTGCGCTTGCTGCTCGCAACGTCGACCATCAACGTTTCGGCAGCGTTCTCCAGCGCAAGGCCGACGATGCAGGTAACATGATGAGCTCTTCCAAGTCGGACAATCCGTCGCTCGCTCTCGCCTGCAGGTTTGGTAAGTGAATTGAGGCAATTGACCCCGCTCAGCTTGTTGACGACGAGCAGTGTCGACCGATCAGTGGCTCGTAACACATTTTAGTAGTTCGCTGTCCATCGGCCAGGTGAAACAGTGTCTACTATCTAAACTCCTTCCAGGACCTCCTCCTCCATGCCCGCAGACAACAACAACGGGACGCAGGCGTCGTCCACTTTCTCCCATAACTTTCTCCTCGCACGGCCACAGTGACGATGATACGGACAGCGACCGAGGCTCACGCAGCGGCGACCTATCTGATCATGACATGCTGGACGATCTCTTGGATGATGGCACTCATTACCGATTCAAATATATACCAGGTAGTCATTCCATCAACGCTTCCTCGTCCGCCACGCTGGTGGCTCGTGGTGCTGCTCCCAATCCGCCTCCACCGACGCACCAATCCGCAAATTATAAGCTGTTTGCTTTCTCTACTGGTCAGTTGTTGGAGGACCATCTGAGTCTGGCGTGGTATGCGCTTCGCCCGTACGAGCTGTTGGAGCTGTATCCTCGAACGGACGCGCTTGTCATACTCCCTCGCGGTGTTCCAGAGGCATACGTGCGCCCATACTTTGAATCTCGTGTTCGGGCACTACGTATCGTTGGCGCAGATCTAGACGGTTTTGGCGTGCCACAGCTTGATTTGTCTGGGGGGAGTAAGGGAAAGGGAAAGACATGGGAACGAGATCGGAGGAGCGGCAGTGGGAGTGGGGCCGGAACGGGGGAAGGTAGTGAAGGCACAAAGGGTGCAGAAGGTGGCGAGGCGAGAAGGGATAAGCCAAGTCGAAATCGTAGAAAGAAGACCGAATGGCGGGAACGTTGGGTTAACATCCATCAGGGCGTCCTAAAGCTCTGCAAGGACCGCAACGTGAGTACTCAATTCATAATAGTTATTTTGTATGGAGTTACAATCCGGGTAGGGTTTGCAATCCGCGCATTATGCACCTCTCAGTGCCCTTCTCGCCCTTCGTGACGCAGAACATCTCCCCGCGCATGTCATTCCCCCTTATTATTTCTCCGCATATACCTCTCCGACATCCTCGTCGACTACACCGCTCTCTTCACCGACTTTCGTTAACACGAGGTTACAGCAAAGCGACGTAGCGATGTCGGCGCCATCGTGTTCTTCCACTACTTCTGAAGCCATTACGCGAAGGATCATAGGCGCGAAATTCCGCGCAGGCCCATATCCACCTCCGCACTCTCCGACATACGCTCAAGTTGGAACTCCGCCGTTTTCCTCGTCAGGCTCGCGGGCGACTGGAGCGAAGACGGAGGAGCGACGGAGCAGCCTCGGAGATGGCTCAGGAGGATGGTTCCGTCGCGGTTCGCGAGATGGGCTGGCAGAGGGAAGTGTAAGCAAGAAAGGGGTTCAAACCGAGCGCGGGCCGGCAGGTGATGAATTCGAGAGCCACGAACCAGGTGCTGTATCTACCGAAGAAAACGACGATGGCATATGGATCATCATGGATATACCAACCGATGCAGGTAAGTTTCATCATCGATGTGTGCCTATCTTGCCAGTAATTCTGGATCTTATCTCTGCTATCCCGTATCTGTCTCTGTTGCCGAGAAGACATGTTTCAACGCATTTCTCCTGATCACCAGACACAGGCTAATGACTGATCTTATACGCATAGCATTCAACAACCTTCTACGGATTCTGCACCGTAATGCTCCGCAGTCGTGTTCTTCCTCCTTCACATTGCATCTCGCCACATCCCTGGCTTCTCCACAACCACCCTTTGTCCCGTCTTCGACAAGCCCGCCACACGATCCTGATCCTTCGTTCTCACCCCTCGGCAGTCCGAATGCTTCTACCTCCTCACATGCTTCCTCATCGTCAATCTCAGCTGCAGGAGATGTTTTACAGCGCTTCCCGCATAATGAAGACTCGCCGCAGCTTCCTGAGAGCACGTCTCGTGGAGCCTTGCCCTATCCAGAATGGCGCCTTGCCGTTGTTCGGCGAGCGCGGAAAGCCGGAATGGGCGCCCTCGGTCGCGCAATGGAGCTCGTTATGTTCGGTCATGACGATGAAGACGCCTCATCAGGCGGTGACGAGCTGGAGTTCGAGCATGACCAAGACGCTGTTGCTGATACGCCGGTTGAGACAGAGAGCACCATCGACACAATCTTCGACCTGGATGAGGTACCGCAGTCGCAGAGCTCCTCGCATGAGAAGTCAGAACCAAACCTTTCGCCGACACTGTGGAGAAGTATCCTCAACGATGACAGCGAGTCTGAATCTGAGTCGGACGAGAGCGAGCAAGAATGGGAAGCTTGGATGGAGGATCTACCGCGCCAATGGCGAGTGCTGGCTGAGACGGAGGAACGACGTCTGCAGCAACTTGAGCATGGAAGCAGAGCGGGGTCAGACTTTGATGGATGGCGGAGATCGTGGTCGCCAGACTGGGTGAGCGATTGGGGCTGTGAAGACGCGACAAGTGATACTCGCAAGCACGAACTGAGTAGGAGCAGCTCGCCGAGCAGTCCGAAGACTGCGTGGATCGAGAATGCACGGGCAGAGCTCGTCAAGCAGGTTGAGCCACGCACCCTGATTAGCTACTCATCTGCGGATTCTCTGATTCGGCACGCCATGCGTGGTAGCTCATCAAGACCGCATCAATACGTGGGACGTGGAGGGAAATCTTCGCCAGACCGCATACGTCCGCGTTCCCCGCTAGCCACGGAGGTCGACCATTCTTCCGTGATCTCACCGCGGTCCAGAGACACATCAGAGTTTTCAGTGCGCTCGCCGTTACTTGTACGGATGCCTATCCCAGTCACAATGAGGATGACTACTCTGCGTACATCCGCTAGTGTCAGTCGGCTGTCGCAGATCATTGACGATCGAGATTCCCCTCCACCTGGAACAAGCGAAACTGCGACAGACCTGGCAACGACGCTGGTGTACGAAGGATCGGTTGCTCGTGCCGATGCCGTTTACGAACTTACGCCAACAGCGACGCGTACGAAACCCCATCCAGTCAGCTTGCAAGTTGCTACTGCGCCAACCGCTCCGTCTATGTCTATTATCTCCGGTGCATCTTCGCCTTCGAGCAGGGGCAGCTTAGAGAGCATGAAATTCGTCACGCCTGGTTCCGACTCTGATGTTTAATTATTGTACGATATCGTCGCTATATACACTTTCCTTTGTGGGTCTTTGATGTTCTGTAATACCATTGTAAACTATCTGATCTTGTTCCGACTGGGCTATACGGTTGCAAATTGTAATGATTGTGCACTATATGTTATGACTCATCTCTTTTCGAATCGGTGGATGCCCGTTTTCTTCAAATCAACTCTCCAACTTAGGCAGCTCATTCATTCGGCGTTGAAAAGCTGGCTCGCCTCTGCGTCGATGACTCCACAGTGGATTGTGAAAACGACGCTGCATATTTATAGCTGGACAAGAGACGTAGTAGCTGATCTCCGTTACGTTCTGTGGATATAAGAGACTTGGAGTTTTTCGGACTTGCAGCATCACTGACTGTGAGCAACGAACAAGGACGTTCACAAGAGCCTGAGACACTGGCAAGACACATCCGACGTTTTTGCAGCTTTCTCTCAGTGCTTGAAAACATCTCAGGCGATCGCAACGTGAGCCAGGATCAGAAGAACACAAGCAGAGGACAGGCGATGAACACGGAAGTTTGCCCGCGTGCCTGATGCAGTGGTTTGATAGGACAGAATATCCAGCTCTTCGATAACTGTGCCTTGCACAATCCAGCCGACCATCCGACGCGTGTGAGAGTGTACAAGCGATGGACTGGTAGGATCTGAGTGAGCCGTTGATCTACGTGTTGGTATTACAGCGTATAACGGAAGTCGGGAGCACGGTCCCCCATCCTCCTCATATCCTCATCGGAGTATACAACACCTTTCTTCATCATCTCTCGTTGAATTGCATCTCTCTTGCTGTTGATGTGCCTGTATGCTAGAACGGCGATCGGCAAGAAGGTGTAGCCGATGCCTACGAACATCAACTCGAGCGCGTCTGTCAAAATCCCACACATCAATACGTGGAATGCATCGCACGGGACCTTCCTACTCACGGCCCATGATATACCGCGGCTCGTCCTTTGAGAGGTAGATGTTACATGCGATGGCTCCACCAAAGTTGCCGATGCCAATCTGCAGCGCCATCCCAACTGCTCGCTTGTATTGGCCAGCCAGATTGTTGCCAAGCCTGCGAAACGGGTAGACAGGATTAGAGCATGTGCAACAAGAACGACGTACCATGCAACCACTCCTGGAAATGCCCCGTAGGACCCTGCCACGACGAAGAACGTCCCGAAGTACTTCACCCCGTTGCGCGCATTAGAGATGTTGATGGCGAAACCGATGGTGCACATTATAAGGCCAGAGAGAATGAATGGAGATCGTTTCTTGATACGGTCGGACCATACAGCGAATATGACCAAGACGATAGCTGACGCGGGCCCTAAGCAAAACGCTCGCATAGAGAAACTGCAGAGCATACCAGCACATATATACGGCGGCACCGTGAGGAGCTGGCTGATGGCAGTACCATATCCGAAGCTAGCAGTCGCATTAGCATGACAGATGGTTTGTATGAAACTGTTGAGTGTACCCATTGATAAGGGATCTATGAGATGCATTAGACAGTGGACTATGAATGAAGGGCTTTCGAAGAATGCATACGGTAGGAAAAGAGAGATTCCGTACACTGTGGAATGTGTCAGTGGGTTCATTCTCAACGCGCGCATACTGCTCACAAGGGGCACTATTCGACATGTAAACTAGTATCAACACCCAGATCTGAGCTACATGTTTAATATCGAAAGTTCTGCATGAGGCAAGCGATTGGATACGTACCTGCCAATCGGTTAATGCTGCTACGAGGTGCCGCATTTCGAAGTGTTCTTCTTCTCCTACAGAGGAATTGTCGTACTCTCTCGTAGTGTGAATGTAGCGATCATGAAAAAGCAGCAAAGAATTATCTTACTCTTCTTCCAGACAATATATGTGCGCTCTTCTGGCGTCAGGAAATTGGCGGTGCTCGGGAAGTCCACCAACACTACGATCAAATCGCGTTAGTTATTCATCAAACAACATGGGGCATGACTCGAGATAACTCGCTAAAGAACGCTACGCAGCCGACTACCACCGTTGTTAATCCCTCAATAATCTATTTAGAATCCCCGCATTAGCACAGGCATGCATTTCTCGATGAATCGACATGACTTACGAATATCCATGACCACCCAAGTAAGCCGGCACTGCCCGACATGTAGGAGATCCCGAAGGCCAGCAGACCAGAGAAAGCACCTATTCTGCTCGTAAGTTCTCAGCGCCAGCAGATAGAGTCACGAGCCAACCTGCTATCGTCGCACCACCGTAGAAGAGGCCGACGCGGAGCTGGAGCATGTGGCGAGGATACCAAAGGGTGAGGCTGGCATGCATGTAAGTCGTCAGCATCATGACGGAGGGCTATCAGCATGCTGAACACCTGCTCACTAGTACACCACGCCTGGGAATAAGCCTGCCTCCGCGACACCTAGGCATATGCGCGTTCCGACAAGCTGTGGATAGCTGGCGAGAATCGTCATCAACACAGTTCGACGTGCGATTCCGTCATTACTGCAGACGCACGTTTTCACAAGCCCCATGAGCGTCCTGGAAAAGCAAAAATGGTTACTTAGTTACGGATGTTTGGCGTGCGTACATACATGATTATGCCCCATAGAAGCTGCACAAGCATAAATGAGAGTTTCGAATGAACAAGCAAGGCACTTACTGTAATTCCTGGCAGCCATCTCAAGCCGACAATATTAACAAAAGCGGTACACTGGTACTGAGGATAGCCATACCTAGAAGGTTTGAACTTCTTCAACACCATGCTGGTGGGCTTTTCTTAGCATCACGAAACGTCAGGAAGTATGGAGGGAGAGACCCACTTTGCCGGGCATTCGCAAAGGCAATACGGCTTGAATACGAAAATAATGAGCTCGGATCGAGGTTCCCAACGCATAGAATGGACTTACGATGAAGTACATTGTCTATCGTTGTTGTGATCAGCATGCATGTCAACATTATATGTGGGATTAATTCAAACTCACCAGAGCAATGTTATACTTATTCCCTGTCAAATCTAATTGCGTGACAAGGCCTTGGAGCTTCGCATTCCCTAAGCACCCGGTTGAAAAGAAACGGCGTCAGAAAGATGAGCGGCTCTCATTGACACGAGCGAACCAATATTTCCTATGGTGGCTCTGTTGTAAGCGCCATCGATTTCGTAACATCGTCAGGACGAGCTCACCTCTATCCAGAAAAGAACAAAGGTACATAATGGTTAAGATGGGCAGGATGCGTCGGTCCACCTTCCTCCAGAGCCTTTTCTCTTGCTCGGGAGTGAGCGTTGGAGGAGAAGGTAATCCCGCATCCTCGTAGCTAGCGGTGTTGTTGACTTCTGCAGTGTACTCGACCGTGCCGAGTTTACTCTTCTCCGCTACCAGACTGGTACTACCGTCGCTGGGCCTTGTCATGCTGAGTCGCGATGAGCCCCACTAGCAATTGAAGAGGGAAAAGACTGAGCAAGAGAGCTGGAGATAAGATATGCATGTCGCGTTAAAACGCGATGTCGAGTGGCGTTGGTCAAAAACAAGGGCAAGAGTCACAATGCGCTCCAATACTTCGGCACAACCCTTCAGCTTGCCCTCTCGGAAATAGTTGATGCAAGCGAAGCTCACCACTGTGCAGCTGTCCCACACGAGTCTCAGCTGAGCAGCTTGTTGAGCGTTCAGCGACCTTGTGACGCAAACGAGATTGGCCTACTGAGATAAATATTTCCTTTTAGGGCTCCAGGGTATCAGATCCCGGCTCTCCGACGGTGTCAGGCACAGTCAGGGTGCAAGTTGCTGATTCTTTGTGCAGGACTGCACGCAAATTGCTGGAGCATGCATAAGCCAAGACCCGAGTCTACGTGCCAATGCATCAACCATGCCACCTCGGCGACCATATACTAGCAAAGTGGGATGTAACATACTGGTCGCCGATTTACAGCAAAAAGAGAGGCTCATTGGGATAGCCGATGATGTGCTTCATTATGACATATACGAGGCAGATGCCAAGCCGTGAATTAATAGGCCTTCACAGGGCGGTACCTGTACAAGATGCAAGACACAGCCTGCACAGATTTATTTTTCCACGGGAAACCTGATAAAAAAATATCTTAAGCCTGGATATGAAAATAGTTTGGAAATCGGGTGGAAACAATTGAATTATGTTACAATTGCTTCACCGAAACATATCGGTATCACATATTTTTGGACTGAAATATCTTCCTTTGGGAAATAGTTTCACTATTGCTGATACTTTTCGGTGAAACAATTGTAACATAATTTAATTGTCTCTGCCCAATTTCCAAACTATTTCCATATCCAGACATAAGATATTTTCACCATTTTTTGCATCAGGTTTCCCGTGGAAAAATAAATCTATGCAGGCTGTGAGACAGCGAATAGATCCTGCCGAAGCATAGCATCTCCGTAAGTCCAAGTACATGAGGAATTTGGTGATTGGTGTGCGCACCGTTAAAAATGTGGACATTATGTCTGGGGGCAAACTGGGCGGAGTTTCAACAAGCTGTGGTTCAGTGTAATGGCTTGACTCAGGAGATGAGAGCGACACGAGGAGCGAAGGCAGTGAGGAGCAAAGAGGATGGATAGGAAGGTACGTCGAGAGACTACTGGCGTTGTACCTGCGACGATTCCTAATGAACTGTCACAGCTTTTATACATGTAGGACAAAAGTATTACTAAGGAAGAATGTAAGACTAGTATCATAAGCAGCAGCGGAAGCAACTGTCACAGCACCGCTGGATAAGAGATCAAAAAGACTAAAAAGGGACAGTCACGTGGAACGTGCTGCCCTGGTCCCCCTGATCCCTATAATCCCCCTGAACACTTATGTGGTGCAAGAGCCTAAGACTTACTTGTCGATGAAGCAAGTGCTTGGAAGGGTGAGAGATATATGCAGGAGCTGGTAGGCTCAGTAGGTGCTACAGTGGTAGATGAGGAGAAACAATCTGAAGTCTCGTCCTCTACATGCTGGTCTTATATACATGTACAGGAGCCTGATTACATAACCTTCATCGTACCACTACTATAAAATAGATGATTGGCTATCTATGTATCTAGGCAACTATCTCATACATGGAACAATGAGTGGGAAGATCTATCCATAAGTAGAACAATAGATGAGAAGATCGATGTACTCCTGTGGCAACGGTGAGATAATCCATCCTATCTTGGCTTCTGGCTAAACTAATAGGAGGTGGGAGGCCGATGCGCAACAATAGCCCTTGTTCCCTTTGTTTCCAAATGGGTGCCTCTATTGTATCCTGGAATAGACAGGTCCGACCATATCATCCGTGGGTCTGAACCATAACATGTGATGTGGACTATCACCTGATCTCTACACGTCAGGTCTGTGGCTGAGTGGCATGAGATATTGGTGAAGCACATGATCTGTGGTGTGAGAAAAGTCACGTGCGAACTTTGTGGCAAAAATCTGTGACACTACCCCCCTCTCAAGGCTCATTGTCCTGAGGAGCTAAAACCTTTATTTCTCGTTCTAGTTGCTCGCAACATTTGGTAGCTTTGGGAGGGAAGCCCTTGGATGTAATATTATCTGGGCTATTCTGTCTCCCAGCTTGACCGAAAATACGAAATCTATTGTGTTAATCAGTACGACCTTGAGTTCTCCAGTGTAATCAGGGTCAACGACTCCTGCACCCACATCAATTCCTCATGCAGCCAGTCTGCTGCGTGGAGCTATTTGTGTATAGGTGTGTTTGGGAGGGTCAATTGCGACTCCCGTTCCTACCACAGCTCGTGAATGCAGAGGGATTTTGTGCATTTCTGCTGCATAAATATCTCATCCTGCTGCTTCATTTGAGGATTTTTTTGGTGATTTGGTGAGATCTGTCATTTTATGATACAGGAAGAACTCATCCAGATGGTCCGACATATTGATTCTGTGTGTGGAGATCAGTGCAACTTCATACTGTATGAGGATAATTCGAAGCATTTTCCACCAAAAGTGATGACCCTGATTGGTGCTTTGGCTGCATCTGGGTGTTGCTGGTGGAATTCTTGAAGAGGCTCATCGGTGTTGGTGAGATTTGTTCGGGGTTCCCATGTTTCATCGGAATGGTCATAGCCTTTCCATTTGACGAGGTATTGGACCCTTCCCCTCACGACCTTTGAGTCTAGTATTTCTTCAACTTCGAATTCTGGCTCTCCTTCGATTTCTATAGCTGGGGGCTTTGGGGGCTCATGGTTTGTGACCGTGTCTTGATGGTACATGATCAACTTGCTGGCATGGAAGACTGGATGGACCTTCATCTGCCTGGGCAATTCCAGTCTGAACGTGACTGGGCCTAGTTTCTGAAGTACTTTGTACAGTCCGAAGTTTTGTGTGCTTAGCTTTGCGGATTTAACTTTTACTCTGAGATCTTTTTCTTTGAGTAGTACTAGGTATCCGACTTTGAATGGGACTTCTCCCTTTTTCTCATCGAAGTACCATTTCATTCGTGAAGCTGAAACTTCCAATGCTGCCTTTGCCTGTTCTTGTGCCTCGGATCGGTGGGCAAATAGATGTTCCAATGAAGGGTGACATATTGATTCGTGTACGTCTGGTGCCATTTTTGGATGTCAGCCATATTCGACAAAGAATGGGGAAAGTGCAGTGGACTCATGGGTCTGGTTGTTGTATGAAACTTCTGCTGTTGGCAGGTAATGGACTCAATCATTTTGTCTGTGGTTACAGTACATGTGAAGGTACTGTTCCAACACCTGGTTAACCCTTTCCATCTGACCGTCTGTTTGGGGATGATATGCTGTAGACATTGTAGACTTAATACTGAGCTTCTGGTAAAACTCCTGGAATAGTTTGCTCGCAAATTGAGTACCTCTGTCTGAGATAATCTGGCGTGGCAATCCGTGGAGTTTGAAGACTTCATTATAGAATACGTTAGCGACTTGCGACGATGTGACTGTGTCATCCATTGCATAGAAGTGCGCTCACTTCGTGAGTCTGTCTACGATGACAAGTATTGCCATCTTCCTTTCTCCCCTAAAGTCCATGGCTGGTGGAAGTTGTGTGATGAGATTGACTGTGACGATTTTTCATGGTCCTCCTGGTACCTCATTTGATTGTAGTAGTCCACATGGTTTTTCTCTGGAGTACTTGTTGCGTTGACAACTGTCGCAGCCTTGTACATATTGCTTAACCATTACAGACATTCCTGGCCACCAATAATTCCGAGTGATAAGCTCCAACGTCTTGAACCTGCCTGGGTGTCCAGCTGGTAATGTGTCATTATGGAGCTTTATTAGGTCGAGGCATAGTTGTTGATCTTTTGGGACGTAAACCTTTCCACGATGGAGTGGCAGTCCGTGCTCAAAGTTCCATTCTGCGAGATTTTTTCTAAAATCGTGCTGTCCTGTAGTCAAAAGTGCACGATAATCCTTGGTCATCATGTCATCTGTGAGTGCCTTCTTGATCCTTTCCAGTAGTTGAGCATCATCAACTTCAGATGTGTGAGTGGGTCGGATCGCATTGATAGCGAAAAATTCAGGTTTTAACAGCATTTGGTTCGAATTGTCGCTGTCTACCCCCCTCTCATGGTCTGGCCTCCTGGACAGAGGATCAGCATGTAGCATTGTCTTTCCAGGTCAGTGACTGAGTACAAAATTGAATCGTGTGAGGTATAATGCCCAGCGCGCTTGACGCTGGGATAATTTCTGTGCCTGACAGAAGTATGTAAGGTTGAGATGGTCTGACCAAATCTCAATGGGTCCTGGGTGTATTCTTCTAGTGCCCTAATGATTGCAAGCATCTCCTTGTCGTAAATCTCGTAGTTTCGCTCATGTTCATTGAGTGACTTGGAGTAGTATGCGACTGGATGCTAAAGCTTGTCTTCTCCCAGTTGTTCGAGTACTGCACCAGTTGCATAGTCTGAAGAATCTGTCTCCAGTCAGTAGGGTGCAGTGTCGTTGGGGAGTTGTAGGATCAGGGCTGAAGTGAATGCTGTTTTGAGTGCACTGAAGGCTTGGTCTTGCTCTTCCTTCCATTGCCAGGGCACGTCCTTACAGGTGAGAAGTGTTAAAGGTCGTGCGAGTTTCGCAAAGTCCTTTATAAATCGCCTGTAGAAATTCACGAATCCTAAAAAGGCCTGTACTTGTTTAACCTTAGTAGGTGCGGGCCAGCCAAGTACACCTTCAACTTTAGCAGGGTCCATCTGTACTGAGTTCTTGCTGATGATCATGCCAAGGTACTCGATTGAGGACTGTTCAAAGAAGCATTTCT